ACCACACAGTCATCTCGTGCGTGGGAAATTAACGTCTCCTACCACTAACCCTGCAGGAGACGGGGCCTATGGTTTATTCGTCCTTATCCGAGAAGACTAGAATATCCATCCATTTCTTGATATTATAGAAAGGTAGCATATTCTCCTCAGTCATTGTAAAATTGGTCATCGAGGGTTTGTTTTGAGTTTTTAATGGCAAAAAGGGTCTTAACTTGACCGAATTCAACTTTGTGTAAACAATTTAGGCCAAAGTAAAATGGTCAATTTTCGTCTTAGAGGCACTTTAAAAAGGGTCAGTTTTTAACATTAACAGTTTATGTTACTAAAAACTGTTAAATCTGTAATAGATTCAGCAGTATTGCGCCGAATTACGTGGCTTATGGTCGTTCCAAGGAACTTAGCTAAGGCTGGTTTCGGTCGAGGTTTAGTGTAGACACGCCACTCTTTGTCACCTTACCGATTTTCCTCGATCATTTCCCGCTCTTTTTCGCTAATATTTCGCTAAATTTTAGACCTCGGATACTTGGGCCCGCGTTGTTGACCGCATACCCTCCGACATAGCATTTCATTATTCACGTCTGTCTACCTCACCTCCATTACACATCAGTCGGAGTTGAGTATACCTGTAGGCTCCCACGTCGTCAGCCTCATGGCTGGGCGAAAAGGAAATATTTTGTGGAGGAAACCTAGGAAATCAAGGGCAGAGAAGGAAAAAGAGGACCAAAGCAAACTCAAGTCCGAGTTGGGTCTTTGCCTTATTATTAGAATTGACCAACATGTTCGTGAAAAACTTGGTTCGGGCATTTTAGTTGAAGACCTGGTGGTTCATGAAGGAAATCCACCTCATCGTTATCTGGTAACAAGCGACAAAGTGATAACAGATTTTGGTGAATTCATGAAAAATTATGTCTTAGAATTTCGAAAGTCAGCTGAATCTTCGAAGAAGTTGCCAGCAATTCCATTAAACGAAATTGCAGCGTCATTGAAACCTTTCAAGCCCCCAGGCAACACTTCCGGGATAATCTTCATCTGCCTAAAAAGCGAAATTGTACAAAACCTTAAAGGAAGATTTTTAAGGGCTGAGGTGGATGACTTACAAAATTATGAAAATTTTTATTGTCTCTTTGTTGATGTTTTACCTCAAGATTTTGTAAAATGGTTAAGAATTAAGAAAAATGGCTCAGGAAAGTACGTGGTCGAAGAAGATGGTAGTTCTTACACTACATACGAGTCACTTAAGAACAATCCCGGATATAGACCTCTTGGTGGTGCCATCTTTAAAGAAGTCAAAGGCAAACATAAATGTGTTGGAATGCTTGATTTCACAGACGATGAAGCAAAGACCCTATCGCCTGTTTTCTTCTCATCTATTTTTCCACGTAAAGGTAAGAGTGATTTTGTGATCTAAGAATACTGTAAAATGCCTTCTTAGAACCCTGCCAACTTAAGTAACCGGTAGACTTTAAATAGACTTTTCATTTTTAACCTTTCAGCGTCGACTGGAAAAGTTTTTTTACAGATTTGAATTTTGGGTGGAAAACGTTGTTCAAAACTATTTGAAAAATATTACCTTCATGTAGCTTAGAATATCTTGCATTGAATCTTACAGATGCAAATTGAAGTGAGTTGAAACCGTAAACAGTAACAGTTAGAGTGGTTTTTGGTTTGACACTGTATTCTAGGAGCAGAATGTATGTTTACAGCATCGAAACCAAGCTTGGTAAAAATAAAGTGCCAACAGATCCATTTTGTGAAGGCATCGTACATTCCAGAAAAGTTCATGTTTTATTTGAAAACCAAAACCACAAATCACATAGGACAGACAGTCATCTTGCTGGTTCAAGGCAGCCTTAGGCAGTCCCAAGTGGGCAGAATGACCATTTCTTACGAGTTTTACAGGGGCTCTTTACCCCACCCTAAGCTAAACCTCTTGCTTTTTCACACCAACACCACTGTCATGTGTACTATTTCACTCCTTTTTTACCAACTGAATGCCTGGAACAGGCTAGGAATTAATTTGACTTAGAATTTTCCTTCTGACTGGCACAGCTCTTACTGGTAACTAATTTTCTCTTAAGTGGCCAACTCCTTTGAGGTTTTCCTCAAGTTAAATAGCCACAGAGATCTCAAATAAATTTAGGCCTTTTGTATAATAAAAACCAGTGGAAAGGGGGTACACTTGAGGAATACCATTTCTAGAGGTGTACTGAATAGCAATTGACAGCTTCATGTATACCAAGTAGGAAAATGTACAAAGATTTCTATTCCTGAATTAAATACACTCAAGGAATACCAATTCTCAGTGTGCTTAATAGAAATTGAGTACTGCAACTCGTGAACATACAAGAAACAATAAAGAGTTGCAGGTTTTGCTGGAAATGACAAGGTATCCTAAATTATCTATCCTGCAAAGCCTTTGAGTCATCCTTTTTCTTATCAGCTGACATTTGCCTACTAACAGCCTGGCGTAGTGCTTTTTGAAGGTTAGATCTGATTAAGGAAAAAAACCTGAACTTTGAAAAAGTGTACTTAATGAATATAGGCTGTTTTTGCTGACAGCCCCGTAACATTGAGATGCAAGGTAGAATTCTATCATTTAGTAGCCTATAGGGAGGTGAAGTTTAATTTTTGATGACTTAAATTTAATTGAATTGTAAATTTAGGAGTGACTGATAATAGAGCATTAGCCATAGCAAACTTCAGAGACTCAGATCAACAGGATAGAAACACTCCACAGCAGGGTACATTATATATGTTGTAGTTCTAAGTGATTCAGGTCAATATGATTTCAATCAGTTTAATAGGTATCTTTCTTTCTTTCTTTCTTTCTTTCTTTCTTTCTTTCTTTTTTTCTGTCTTTGAGGATTATTGTAATGTAACCTAAAACAAAGGAACAATTTAAACCAATCTGAAGTAATTTTTGACCTCAAATTTATGTTGAATTACAGCACAATGACACATTTAGTCTATTTAGTGTATCATTCAAAAAAACATTTAGAGAAAGATTGGGATTTTTGGAAAAAATTTTAGATTTTTTTAGAGCTATTTAAAATGAGACTGCTAGAAATATTTTGGAGAAATTCCTGAGAGACTTTTAGGCCAATTTTTGGGATTTTTGTATCTAGGCCAAGGCAAACTAGGTAAAGGAGAAGGAGAACCACCAGCAAGGGAACCAGAGTGGGGAGAAGCAGGACAACTACAGCATCAAGGAAATCTAGCAAAGAATAGCAGCCATGAGGGGATTCAGCAGGAGGGGGAAAAGGAGGAGGAGGAGAAGAAGAAGATCAATAAACAGGGGAACAAGAACAAGACTGGAGGAGAAAAAGAACAGCAACCAGAAAAAGGAGAAGGAAGAGGAAAGGAAGAAGGAGCAGTTGGAGGGGCACAAAGTTGTTCAGAACAAGGTAAATACACATGAAAAGATTGAGATTTATGGATTTATGTTCTCCAAAGCACATCATTCTGCTAAGAAATTTGTTATCCAGAATCCAGGATGATTTTTCTTGCAAGTAGTTTGACTAACAGGGTAAAATTGTTTTTTTATAGATAGTGGTGTCTATTAGAAAGTATCTTCTGAAACGTATTTCAGCTGTAAATTTAATCATTGGGAAGTGCTTGTTTACTAGTTCAAGGAACTGGTAGACAACATATCTGTTGGTGTGCAAGAGAGATAATACATTATCGATGTAGTGCTTCCAAATGAGCAGATTGCTTGCGCCTCTATCTAGGATTTGCTTTTCAATTTTTAGCCATGAAGATTTAAAAAAAGGTACTGCTGTTTGGATACATGGCAGTTCCTTGTATTAGGGCTGGAATGCTTTGAGTGGTATATGCAGTTTATTTATCTGATTCATTATCTTTGGAAATTAATTACTACTATGTTGGGAACTCTCTGCATCTCCTGCTCCTCTCAATGTTGGTCTGCGAGATGGCACAGACACATTGGCAATGAATGAGTTGCTAGTAATTGGATCCTTGTGTTTGTGCAAAGATTTCTGAGATCACCATGGGGCAAACATTGCAAGTTGCTAGAAACAGGTGTTTATTAATTTCTGGGAGTGTTTTTTAATTTCTGGAGAGCAAAATTCAGTGATTATTTGTTGTAAGGTCCTAAAATTAAGATTATTAATTGCAAAGGGCTTCACTTGGGATTATTAGTTGCAAAGAGTGTACTATTGCGATTAATAATTGTGGAAAGTATGGCTATTAATCGTGACTGAATCATTAATAGTCATGTTTGACAAGCTTTTAGACTAATAATCGTGCATCGTACGGTTAATAATTGCATCTGACAGCAAATGTTCTTATACATCATACTCCTCTCTTAAGCTGAGTTCAAGCAGAACTTTTTGTGGATGGCCGCCATGATTTACAACCAAAGTTCAGAATTTAGTATTTCTTTGCACATGGCTTTTTAGGCAATAAATGTCACATATTTGAAGTCTTCTTGGGTTCAAGTTCTCAGTGAACTTCGTTTCCGTTTATAAAGTGTGTTTACCAATGATGTTTTCCTTTTCTTTTGCTCTTCGACAATGTTAGCATGGGTTTTCGGTATCGTAAGAGAGTTAACTAACATTTCTCTTGGATGAGAATCGGACAGGGTTCAAGTAGATTGAATTTTAACTGAATATATTACAAACAAACAGCCAAATAGGTCAAATTATGACAATTACTTCCAGATAACAGCTTTTTGGGAAAACTATTTTCGATGTTTGAGTAAATTAAATGTTTTTTTTTTTTTTGCCTGAGTGGCTGCGCATGACCTCCGCTTCAAATATTCCTGCAATGGAATCTTGACCGCAGGAAAAAAAAAGATTCTTTCGACTAGAGCCTCCTCTGTGCTCTTGTAGAGTTCTTTAGTTTACCTCTCAGGGATATGCTAATTGAATGAAAGAAGTTTCAGAAAACATGAAAACCTATGCGAAATTATGTGTTTTGATAAAATCATTGCACTGTTGTCAGATTTGTTTTTCAGTTTTTATGTTTCAAATGAAAGAGTGCAACAGCTGTTTTCTTTTGATAAATGTTGAAAGGCCATTTTTTTGTTGTTGTTGTCCGTTGATCAGTTTTGGGTGTAAATTGACAATTTTACCTTTATAATTTGGACATATCAACAAAGTTGAAACAGTAAATTGGCCACCGTAATGATTATAAAAGCTGACGTTTCAAGCGTTAATCCTTCGCTCTGACGAAGGGCTAACACTTGAAACGTCAGCTTTTGTAATTGTTACAGTGGCCAATTTACCATTTCAACTTTGTTGATATATCCAAATTATTTCGTTACTCCCACTGACGCAGCCCCAAACAGTTTTTTCGAAACTATCAGCCTTTATCAATTTTACCTTTAGACAAGTATCGCAATGGCAAAACAAACATCTCACGGAATTAATATGCGTGACATTGCCAAATATTACCGGGAAAAGGTTTCACTCAAAACATTGAAAATAGTTGTCCATTCCAGTGCACCGTTTTCCCCATTGCTCTAGAAGAACCCATTTCGAGAACATAATAGTTTTGGAAAGATCTAGAGTCTTGCATCATGGACAAATGGAACCGCAACTCAAACTCTGCTAAGTATTCTCCTGGTTTTTTCTTTTTCTTTTTTTCGGTAACTTTCCCTGGCAAAGGAAGATACAAACGATAACTGTAAATTGTTTTCCTTCCCTGTAAAATTGTAAAATTTAAAGGGGGATGCCTTTCCCCTCCTACAGCTTCCAGAGGCTTGAAACAAAGGTCTTATTCATGCCGTAAGTCATCCCAGACCTCCTGTATATCTTATATATCCTATAATTTGTATAAGATCCTACACAAAGCCTATCTTTCATGAAATCCTCCTATATTTCCCATAAAAATTATTAAAATAGGACGGCTGCCGAATGATACATTTATATTTTAATGCATTTTTCAGCATTTTTGTGAACAAAAGTTTTTTAAATTCTTTCCTATGAATATTCCTTCACTATTTCTTATTACTTACATTGGCAAAGCCAATAAAAATGAATATTAAAATTGACACAAACAATATAATAACAGGCCTCCTGTGGTGGTAAACACCAACAAACTGCTACTTAGGTCTCATATTCAACCAAATTTTGTTCAACTTTGGAGAGTTTGTGTTAAGTGCAAACTGAATTACCCAGGCCAGTTTTTACATATGATTTAGTACAGTGTTTAAAGACCTTATGGCTTGAGTCTCAGGGTAAGTCAAGTTCTAGCACATACCTAAATTTTTGATTGTGACATTCAGCTAAAATATAAATTTCTTTTGTTTAAGATTAAAGCAGTTCTAAAAGATATTATTGTTCGCTGTTCAGATTACTGCTAAGTTGAATATTTACAACCAAAATAGAAGTAAAACCCTCCAAGAACTGATGCATCTGACAATATTTTCTCTCTTCCTTCCCTTTTGCATGCAAGTGAAATTTTGAGAATGGCCCATTTTGTCTTAAATTTTGGCTGTTTTGAAGATGCCAAGAGCAGAAATAGATTTTTTCAATTTTCACCAAATTGAAGTGGCCTTTCTGAAAACAAACTAAATCACATTTAGTTACTTACCAATACCTATCGATGGACAAAATATGAGTGCCTAAAAATATCCACTCAGGCCATTGGTAGCTGAATTTTTACAGGCATTTACTCTTAAAAAGCTTTTTTGGCTTCTCTGAAGTGCCTATATTTTGGGAAAAAAATGCTATATTTTCCTATATTTAGAACTTGCAAAGCCTATATTTTCTACCAAATTGTTAAAAAAGTGGCTGGGATGCCTGTGCCTTCGTTTTGCATGTTAAGAGCCACTGACCATAAATATTGAAAATTAGCCAAAAATTGCAAAATTTCATAATTTATTTTCATTTTTGCTTAAGGATCCTTATGATAAACCCTCCTCAAAAATTAAATTAAAAAGTTTTATAGCACTTTGCTGTCTTTGAACAATGGAAAAGTTCAAAATGTGCCTAGACGGGTGTTTCCCCCTGTTACGACATGAAAAATTTCGCAACTTTGGCAACTTTGCATGCCACTATGCCATGTAATTGCTTTTAAATTTTGTTTGCAAGCAAATGGTCCTTTTATTTCTTTGAAACTATAAACTTCTTGTTATGTTGTTACATTCAAGTCTAAATAGTGACCCATTGAAATAAATAAATGTACTTTAAGGCTATATTGAAAAACAATGCAATGCAGTCAGTCACTTGAGAGGTCATGACCAATCTCTCAGGGTGGCAGAAATGTACCATGTACATGACCTCTTGTACATGTGTGACAGCCATTCAATGGATCTTGTTACATTTGTTGTCATGATAACCCAGACTCTTTTCAACATGGACACAATGTTTAAGGCAGACCAAGAGAGAAACTTTAAGAAATTGCACTACAAGGATGAAGCTTTGAGATGATGTATATGTTGTAGTTCGATTTTATCCTTGGTTCAAATTTTATTTTTCTTTGTTTCAAACTCATTATCATACATTAACATGACTGAGAACAATGGAAAATAAAATTTGAACCAAGGATAAAATTGAACTACAACAGATAATTATTTTGATCTGTAAATATATATGCCAGACCTTTTTAAAGGCCTTTAAATAGGCCACGACAGCCGTTCAGCAGTTCACATTCCATTTTTTGTCCTAATAGCCCAAACTCTTTTCAATCTGGACGTGCCACATATGATGGGCTAAGATACATTTAGATAATTGGAAGAATTAAACTACAAGGATAAAGCTCTGAGATGATGTATATTATGATTTGTAAATTTATATGGCACACCTCTTCATAGGTAGTTGAAGTTGACCTATACTACTTCTGCAAAAAAAAAAAAAAAAGAAACAGGGTACATTATCTCAACAGGTCACTATTCAGACTTCAACATAACAAGAAATTTGTATAGGTGGTTTGCAACCAATCTCTAGAGACACAGGTAACAATGGTGAAAGGAACAAACACTATGAAATCAAGACCCATGGAAATCTTATGAATTTATTCATGGTAAATTCACAGATTTTTCACAGGATTTTCATGGTTAAATCAATGGCTTTTTCATGGTCTCAGTGCCATGAAAAAGACATGAAAAATTCCATGAAAAACCTGTGAAAATTTGCATATTCACGACCCATGAAACATTGTGTAAAGTGACCTAGAAGCCACGATATACCCACGAAAATGGCATTTCATGGCCCTTTCAAAGGTACTGAAAAGGCCATTAAGTACCCATGAAAATGGTACTTCGTGGCCTTTTCAAAGGTACCGAAAAACCCATGACTTTCATGGTGTTAAAATTCACTCTAGGTTTTTATGGGTTGTAGGAAATCATGACCCATGAATATCATGTGAATATGTAAAAAATTCATTGACCCTGAAAATTTTCCCTGAATTTTCATGGCCTCTCCATGGCATTTTCATGACA